GCAGCGCTGCTTGCATTCCAAATGAACTGTGTGGGTGTCTGCACTGGATATAAAACAGTTTCAACTAAATGTGCTGCATTATTGAACACTTATTGAGAGAGGGGAAAAAAGTTTCAATGGAAAATCTGTTTTTGTTCATTCTCCATCTGCTGTGCACAATACCATGGAAAGATTTCAGGATACTTCAGAAAACGAACTTTCTAAAGGTCAAGGCTGTTGGATGCAAAGGGCTTTAAAGTCTTCGGGCACCACTGTCATTTCATCGTGATTAATATGGTCTCGTAGGCTCAAGGTTGTTTTGGAAAACCATTGTCACTCAAAATCCACTGCTTTATTCAGAGTTGTAACATAAGACTTTGTGGTGTGAAAAAGTCATAAATATGCTCTGAAGCTATGACCTAATCTGGGATTGACGGAAGAAATGTTTGACTCATGTTTTCTGTTGAAATGAGTCATGCTTTGGTAAAAACAAAGGCAAAATACAAACTCCAGCATCTTGAATGGCAGATCTGTGAAAATTATGAATTAAGCAGAAAATGTTTGTTCTGAGAACCAGTTCAGACCATGTAATTACCATTTGAAGGCCTGGTTCATTTAATATACAATAGAATACAAGATGTGAATTCTGTTTATATCACTCCCACTCTTTCCGTTACATTCCAGTCATTTTCAGTATTAAATTAGAATTACCGGATTCTCCATGTTGTAAAACATTGGTGATGCATAACAAACAGCTGAACAAATCAAACTGTGGAAACTGTGGAACATGTTCCACAGTTCATTCTAGTGTCTTAAAATAGTGTTCGAACTATTTAACATTTGTGCATCTTTTAATGTGATAACCGCAAATAAATGCCTTTTATTGGGATTTTATTATAAGATTTAACAGTAGATCATTGGGAAGTAAAATGGTTTATTTTTTCTAAAGATTTCAGTCATGGAAATTAGCAAAGCGTCAAATGCAAATGATTTAATTGGTTAATACTTTGTGGAACCATATTTTGCAGCAGTTACATCTGTAATTCGTTTGCTGTATATATCCACCCGTTTTAGACATTTGCACTGAAATATGAGCCAGGCGACCAAAACAACGCTACGTTGTTGGGGAAGTAACATATTCAGGTATGTTTAGATCCACAGAATGGCACTTCCTAAACGGCTTTAAAACTCAGAGCCTAACCCTCACTAGCTTTACATTTAGAAAACCCTTTGGTTGGAGGATGAAACCTTTTCTTTAAATGAATGATTTGTGTAAGTACTTGTCATTTCAATAGATTATTACAATTTAGCTTGAATAGCTACTGCTCCTGAATTACTAAGGGCCTCTTCCCTGTTTCTGAGTAAGACTGGATTTAGTAATTGAGTGACTTCTTGGGTGTAGCTTCACAGAATCTTATCCAGAGTTAAATAAAGGAGGCTGCATATGTCTAGATTGATCTAGGGCTGCAGCTAACGATTTTTTTGCAAATCAATTAATCTGTCTTTTTTTCTTTTTCAATTAATCAGTTAATAATCAGATAGCCAAAGCTTCATTAAATAATATTTTGTTACTAAATTAAACCAGGTGAAAATCAATCTTTTCCAATTGTGGAGTTCTGGATAGATCATATTGAAAGACACATTTTTTATGTTAAATGCAAAATGTGTGTATATATATATATAATTACTGCTTTAAGTGGGTTTGTCTGACAGCTAAAGGCACGTTTTACACTCCAGTTAATGATTAATCGATTACTAAATTAGTTGATCATTTCAATAATCGATTAATCCAATTAATTATTTCCCAATAGAATAAACTGTTTGTTACTGATATGTGAGAAAACTTAGGAAGTTTAATGGGGGCATGAATATTGCACAATTTTAATGCACTGCAAGAGACATTTGTATTTGGGGAAAACAAAAAAAACAACAACAAAAAAAACTCCCATATAAAGAGCATTGGTTTGATAGGCTCTGCAGACTGAATGCTGACATTTTTAAGAAAAAGCACTGATTTTTTTAAATTCATTTAAACAGAATAATGCTTAAGAAGAAACTGGCTTGCATTGCAGAGGATTTAAGGGAGTTAGGAGGACGAGGAAAGAAAAAGAAAGATACAGCAAATTACCATTCAAGCTGAGTACAACCAAAATGATACATCAAAGTCAGGCATGGTGCATACAAGATTGACAGGGGATAAAATAAAGGGGAAATACATCTACTATTCAAGGTAGTAATTATGGGAACCGTTTGAAGGTGTACATTGTTCTCGTAAAGATTACTGTTTTAATTCTATGAACAAGTCGTTATTACTGTCACTGCTAATTGTCAGTTATATTACAGCTGAGTGGGCTGACATGACAATGAATGTAGGACGTCTCAGAGCAGAGATGGATATTGAGCATGACGGTGTGGAAGAAATGGGCCACTGAGACCAATGAATGCTGTGAAGTCTGGAAGGGCCATCAGTCACAGATCAGGAACAAGCAGCTCGGGGGCCTGAGATGGCCAGTGACCGCATATCAGGACATAAAGCTTTGGTTTTTCAAAGCATCCTCCGGAAAGGACAAAGAAGAGATCAGAGAAAACAGAAAAAACAACACAGGTTTAAGGAGGAAATACCCAATTATAAACAAGCAAGAAGCAACAAAAAGTTGGTTAGAGGCAAATAAAATTTTATATAAAGCCTTTTGGTTAATATTGTTGATAAACAGTAACTTAAAGCATTAATAACGGAGGATTAAAAATGGCTGTATACATGAACGAACACAGAAAGAAGATAGTTTCTATTTATTTTATACCCCTTGTCTGTCAGGATTGGGGGGGTTGTTGGAACCTGGACAGGCTGTTATTGCTGTAAAAGATGAGTTTAAAAAGGTAAATTTTCCTTGTTTTTATTAATGCAATGCATTCCGAAGACTGCATAGTTAAAACATTTAAAATCAATGCTATAAAAATTTGTTCTCACTTTACATAAAGTGATAGGGAGCAGATTAGACTTTAAAAAGAAAAAAAACACCGGTGTCTTCATTGCACTTTACCATTTCAAACATTGACTCTGTAAGCTGAAAAGTCCTTTATCACCTGTGAATCACTGAACAAATATTTAGCTTTCTAACCACTTCCTGTCAACTGTTTCACGTCTGCGTTCCATAGAGTTGACCAAACTGCAGGAGCCTGTGAACACCTGTTCCAGCTCAGGACATTAGACTGTTTTCCAGTTTTAGTTTCTCGTTTTGCTCATGTTTTAGAGCAGAACCCCTGAATCTTTTCTAACCAGAAGGCCTTCCTCCTTAAAAGGAGCCATTTGTTTCACAGAGCATCCAATTTCACTGGTTGACCTCCAAACTACTTTTTTTTTTCTTAACATACCCTCTTAAATCAGGATTCAGTTAAAGAGTAAAAAGATGTATGTCAAAACTACTGATTTTCTTCTACTCTATGATTAAAATACTGCTTCATTGTAATTTACAATACAGGGATTTGATCTCTGACTATTTGGAATACTACTGTTGTTGTCTGGTTGTTGTTGTTTACGTAGTCCCAGTTTGCTGCACCTATAATTCACTTTTCCTATATCTTTCTTCTTTCTTTTTGTCATGCATGTCCTTTTAGTTCAGAGTGAGAATCAGCTTAGCTCACAGCTGGGTACTCAGGAACAATCATGATTACTGATGAGACCGAGGGTAAAAAGAAAGTCAGGATTTAAATATTCTGTACCAAGGGCCACAATTAATTGTTTAATATTAATCAGGATTGCAACTTTGTCAGAATTCAGAAAGTAAGTCTCCAGCAAAAGACAGTTAAATCCTTCAACAAACTGGAGATTTTTGTTTGATTGGAAGGAATTTTAATGTGATTTTTAGATTCCCAGACAGGTTGAAATAGAACAAATATTTCAGACCTGTTTTCTCCTGCCTTTTACTCTTTACTCTTATTTATGCTCAGTAAACATCATAACACAGTTCATTAAAATGCCTGCTATATGCTCTTGTTTCTGCAGAGTCTCTCCCCCCAATGCAAAGCATCTCCAGCGGCTTAAAGGAAACCATAAATCCAGGAGATATGGTGCAGGATGCCATCCACAACTTCTCCCCAGCCTATCAGCAGTACACTCAGCAATCCACACAGGAGGTCACACAGCCCAGCGCTAATGGAAAAGTGGCCATGGGCAACAAGAGCTCTCGCAAGTCTGACAAAATCATGCTGATTACATCAGATGATGAGTTCTAGGCATTTTTCCTGCAAGAGACCCAGGTGCCGGTGCCCTTCCCACCCTTACCTCTAACCCCCTGGGGAAAAAAAGCTGCGTTGGATCTCTCACAGAGCCGAGTTAAACACAGGCGGTTCATTTTTACAAGCAAGTATTTAAGGACGTCCTGCTTCTTTTCTGAATGATGATTTAATCAAAGGATGTTTTTCAGGTTTTAAAAGTTTTAAATTTCCTAGCTGAATAAGCTGAGAACTGGTCGGTCTCCATCTTGCTGTGACGATCTCAAAAATTACATGTCATCTTCACTTCATCACAAGAGTCAGGAGACAGGCGCTCCCTTTAAATCAAACCGCCAGATTTTCAGCTGCGTCCCTGATGCCGACTTCGTCTCTGCCATCGCGCCACGGCAGCCTCTCTGGCTGTCTGAAGTGTGTTCCCTCTGAATCATGTCACTTTCAAAGAGCGGATGATTAATATGTGACTCCAGGTGGGAGGCAGGGAAGCAGGCAATGGCTGAGAATGGCACTTCATGGACCGTTACTCACATCTGCTTGTTTGAAGCGTTTGCTGAGTATTCCTCAGCATGGTTTCCTGACAAATGAAAGGCTTTTGTTCAAAGACGCATGAGTTTTAGACCAGGCAATTCAAACTGCAAACTGCTCTTCACTTTTCTTTGTATCCACCATAGCAGGGGCAAATGAGCTGAACCTGTCTATACAAAATAGGAAGTTGGATATCCTCATTTTTCTTAACAGCACAACTAGATAGCCATGTAACGGATGCTACGTTGTTTTGTTCTTGTTTTTTATTTTTTTTTTCCAGAAATAGCCTCTCTTGTGTCTATTTTGTATATAGTTTAATGAGTTAATTTCATTGCTAAATTTATCCCATCTTGTTAGGTATAAGTTATGACATATGTCCACTAGTTGATTAGTTTTGGTTCTGCAGTTCAGTTTGATCTGTTTTTGTGACTATGTGTAATTCTAAAACTGTTGAATCTATTTATTTTAAAAAAGTTCTGGCCATTTCATAAGTTGAACATGTATTTATAAATTGCACCTTTAATCTCTATGTTTTCTTCAGGGACCTTTCTGTGTTTCTTAGTTATTTTCTTTTCTTTTTTTTATCTTGTGCCAATGACTTTTTTTTTTTTTTTTTGAGGCAGTGCATTCATTGTTAATGCAAGTGTGTACAGGGTAGTTTGAAACTGGTGTTAAATTCAGATTAAATTATTTGTTTTGAAACTTTCCTGCAACAAACTGAGTGAACGTTTTTAATGAGGAAAAAAATTTATTCAAAGGTATAAAAAAAAGACATGGTAATAATTACCAAATGTTTTTTTCTGTTGGAGCAGGAAAAAAAAGTTTTATTTGTACTCAGGGTAGTTTATTGAAAAAGCATGTAAATAAATGAATGTGTATTAAAAAAAATAATAATTTAGCTGTTCTTTAACACAATTACACAAATCAATGAAATAAATACAGACCCAACAGCAAACTAATGACAATTTTAAAGGGAAAGTAACCAGTTTATGCTGCCATTTAGACTTTATTTCAACTCATTGCTAAGAAAAAAAACGGAAAACAAACATAACAAACTCAGCATAGAATTTGCAGTCCTTAAAATAGCATTTGACTTGTTTTGTCCTTTCTATAGCCAGTACTATAGCAGACTCTAACTACATGGCTTAATTCAAAAAGTAACTTGTAGATTGGCTAAACTGGTGTTAAGAGCTTATTTAATCTGATCTTTTTCAGAAAAATAATCTATAGCAACTTTTTCATAAAAATACAAGATCTTTTTATATGTACAATCCATACAAAAAGTGTTGGACGGGATAGAACAGCTCCTGGATGTTACCAAATATATTTACACTTGAGAAAAGGGGAAAAAAATGTCTGGACCAAGTTTAAAAAATCTCTAAAAGGAAGCTATCTGTCTAACAAATAAACCACCTACATTTTTAACATCTGCTTAAATGAACTGGAAAAAGGGTTTCTGCTGATTTGAAGAAAAGATCTGCGAGGTTACAGAAAATGACTTTGTATTTATTTCACCCAGAGAAAGGTTTGTCTTAATTGGCACTTTAAAAAAAAAATTGCACTGACAAATAATCAGGACAAATGATAAGTTGTGCTCAAACCAATCAACTTAGTCTCAGATTCAGTATAAGTGCTATTCATTTTTTTTTTTTAAGATTTACCACTAGAGGTCAGTATAATGCTTTGCATTTTGTCAGTCATGACTACGTCAAATTTAACAATGTAAACAAAATATATTTTTTTGACTTTAGGAGTGAAACAGACTTTCACATTAACAGGTCTGTGTTAGCAACGCTGAATACATAAAGCAGTAAAATCTTTACCATCATGATACATCCTGTACACATAGTACCTATGTGAACCAGGAAAACACACAGTTTAATAAGTTAAAAGTTATACGTGAATCCTTAAAAACGCTCTGATGTTGCAGTCATTTAAATAAAACAACTTGTCTTTGTGAGAAAGGAAAAATGCATGTTTAAAAATTTCCACTTGATCTTTTTACACAGTTTATCATTCTAATTAGGTCAGTTTTGTGTTTCACTTAAATTTTAACATTGCTGATGGACAGATCTTTGTGCTTAAAGCTGACATAACTGTGTTTCCCATTGTCTGCTGGGTTTTAGAATATGAGCTGATCTGAATTTAACTCTTGGTAGCTAATTGTCGAGCATAAATACTCATAATTCAGTTATGTACAGTTATAAATGTGAACACAGTGAGTGATTACACAGACACACCACTCCAATTATAGTAATATAGACAGAAAAAATAATATATATATATACACGTATATATCTTTTATGTTTTTTGTATGCAGACTGTATAAAACTATCAGGAAAAAAACAAAACAAACATGGGACATATCAACATAGGAATTGGGTGAAATTTCAAAGAGTAAAGACACAGCAATGCCCCTGCTTAAAAAATGAAATCACAGCAGGTGGTACAGCAGCATAGTTCCCCATTCTGTTCTTTGCAGCTATTGAACAGGGGAAGAACAGTCATGTCCTCTTAGGCAAGATGAAATCCTGACATGATCCGCCTCTATTATATCACTCCTAGTTGGGAGTGGATCCTCTGTAGGAACAGCTTGTTTTCAAGTCAGCTTTATATTTAAATATTGCAAGATGCTCATATAGAGAAAGTCATTACTGCATTCGATAACTGTTTTAAAAGACGGGCGTCAGGAGTTTCTCTTGTAAAAGAGTGTGTCAAATGCAAAGTAAATAGCTACTGGTTGTAAAAATACCAACACCGGCAGCAGCAGCACTTGTGACCCAGCGTTAGGAATGTGTTTTTTCTTCTGGACGGAGTTATCAAACTATTTGGAAACAGAGCTAGCGAATGCTCTGTCACCTATTTTCTGTAATATACAGGAAGATAGTCGATTTTTTTATATATATATATATTTTTTTAAGGACAGCTTTCATTATCGCTATATCCAATATGGATTACCCAGCAAACTTTGCAAGTGTAGTAGGGTTTACCGTACTTGCTTTCTTAAAAAATTCTACTAAACAATCCCACCACATCATCTCACATTTAAGCCCAAGCACATACATTACAGTATTACTGTATCTTTACAGTTATAAGTGCTATGTAACAAAGTTTTTGCTCAATCTGCTTCGTAAACACATCCAAGTGTTTTTAGTAACATGTTGATAAAGAGGTTTGAAACCAGTTAATGCTTTTTTTTTTAAAAAAAAAGGAAACTTGTAACTTTGAGCTAAGGGGCTATAAAATAATCATTCAGAAGTTAAGTAACTTGCCAAACAGAATCCACCTTTAACTAATTTAACCCTTAAATCCAAAACAAAGAAAAAAGTAGTTTTTCGAATAATCTCCTCATTGGGGCAAAGATAGTTGGAGACATGGTCTAGATTTCGTGTTCCTTTCCAAATACAACACAATCCTCGGTGTTTTTTAAACATGCAGTACAAAACACACTCTTTAGCTTTACTATTTCTTAAACTGTTCCTTTTATGGCTTCATAAGCTAAATAAGATGGCATTTTATCTGTCACTTCCAAAACCAAAATTATATAGAAACTTCTACTTTAACTGAAAGCTGGTAAATTTAAAGACTAATTTGGTTGAATTATAGATTACGCCTTTTCATTGAAGGAAATAGCTTTGACGGCCTAACTTATAGTTTGAAAGAAAAGCTTTTATGTCACATGGTCAAATGGTTTATATTTTATGTTCTGCAGCTTCAAGTATTACACCTGTCTGAGACTGGTCGCCCCATGAAAGACATGGTCTACTAGATTTCTGTCATCAGTCACAGAGGTAGGGTCACAGTGGCCAAACACCCTGCCGGTGCTGGGGGTCAGGACAGGGGGTGAACAGTGTGCAGACAGTGTTAAGTGTGAGGGACAGGCGAACGGAGACAGAACTTTAAATGCAGCATAACGTGACATAGAGCTTGGCACCCAATCCTTCAGTCTAATAAATCACTGAGCGTCCTCCCAGCACAGGATGACTTGGTTCAAATAGCAAAGAACCAGCGAAGACCAGGCAGCAGAAGAGAAAGGTCAGTCCTGTCAGCACTAGGAAGGAGCTGAGAATGGGGTTTGGTTGGTGTTGTTGTGGTTAGCGGACTTGACGATGGTGATAACGCTGGTGGTGGCCACCTTGCCTGGTGAGATTGGCCCTCGGGTTACAGTCCTGGCAAAACACTGCAAGGCCTCGTACTTGGCTCGCAGCGCGTCCAGCTCCAGCCTCATGCTGGCATTCTCTCGCGCCAGCTTGTCCACCTCCTGCTGCAGCTCTGTCTTTTGTCTCTCCAGCTCCTCCTTCTGAGTGACACGCTTGATGCGACAGCTGGCGGCATAGCCTCGGTTCTTCAGGGTCCGTCGCCGCTGCTTTAGTCGTACGACATCCTCCTTTGTCAGTCCACGCAGGTGCTGGTTTAGCTCCCGCACGGACATGGCCACCAACTCATCGTCACTGAGTGCCGGAGCATTCTCACCTGTCTCCTTCTTGACCTGCAATCGGCAGGCAGTAGGTGAAGAACACCTCCATATACAAACACAATTCTAATTGTTTAATTTGTCGGGCTTACCTTTAAAGCTTTGCTTGTCTTGAAATGAGTCGTCATTCCCTGCATGCAGAAAACTGACTTGAACCACACAGTTGTGCACTGCAAATCAAACAGATAAACATCCCATTAATTACAGTATTTACTCATCTGCCTTTATACACATCAGTTTGAACAGCATCCCATTCTTAATGCTTTGGGTTTGTGGCTATTATGGCATGCACTCTTCTGGGAAGATTTTCCCCAAATACTCTAAATGGTTTCCTATGGTTTTGAGGTTAGTACACTCTACAGGTCAATCAGCTTCTCCTGCCTTACTTTGTGAGCTGGTGCATGACTATATTAAAACAGGAAGTGGTCATTCCCAAACAGTTCTTACAAAGTTGGCAGCAGGAGCTTGTCGGAAATCTTTTGGCATATTGATGTTTCTTTTACTGCAACAAACTGGCTGAGCCCAGCTTCCAAAAAAACATCTCCGAACCATAACCCCATTTGCACCAAACTCTATATTTAACACAGTGCAGCCGGGTGAATGCTGTTCTCCTGGCTACTACCTAACCTAGACAGGCAGTTGGTAGAATAAGGAATGGCTGCAGCAGCTCAGCCATGGAAACCTATCCCATGACAATCTCTATGGACTCTTATTGAGCTCATCTAAAGACACATGAGGTTTGGGGATCTGTATCTATGGAATGTAGAGAGTTGATGACCTCCGCTCTGTTATTAACTCTGCCCTGTTTATAAAATGTGAAAATAATCCCTTTACTGTCCCACAGTGGGGAAATTCACTCTGCATTTAACCCATCCCCTTGGGGAGCAGTGGATTACTCTTGTGTGGTGCACTGGGAGCAGTGTGGGGTTAAGGGTCTTGCTCGGGAACCCAGAGAAAATGCTGTGGGGTTGAACTGAGTTCTTGCAACCTTCTCAGAGCACAAGCGCACTGCTCTAACCACTAGACCAACACTCCCCTATATTTTAGGTGGCATACAACTGCATAGCTGATTTTCTATTTCTAATATATTCACTTTCACTTTTTTATTACATCCCCTAAGAGTTAACTGTGACATATTCAGTGGTAAGGAAATTTCACGGCTGGGCTGGATTGCACAGGTAGCCTCCTATCATGGTACCAAGCTGTAATTCACTGAGCTCCTAAGGGGCGGCCCATTTTTATCTCTAATTTAGAAGCACTTTTCATCTCTTGGTGCTGAATTTTATGCACTCTTGGACTGGGAGGTGGTTAGAAATTCAATGATATGGATGAATAAGAAAATATTTCTCGACACATATTTCATTTACAACTTTAAGCCTCAAGTCTTAGGTGTAATATGATTCTAAAAAGCTTTACATGCACTAAAACAATAGCATTGCTCTAACTGGCTAAAAGCTAGACTTGGATATTTATGATGGCTCTTTCATGCATCCTCTTAATTTCATCAAAGTTTAATTTTGGAAATATCTCATTCACTTTAAATAACAGTAAGAGAAATCTGGTTGAGTTTATTATTTTTTTAGGGTTTTTTTTGTGTGTGACATACAGCACTACCTGGCTTAACCTTTTTTTTTTTTTATCCAGACTCTATCAATGACTCTTTCTGATTCTATGCACTATAGAAAGGCTGCTTGAATAGTATTACATCTTTTTGTAACGTTTTAAAAAAATCAGTATCCCAGCTTGTTAACCCAGCATATGCCAGCAGGTGGCAGCAAGACACCACTTTTACCCCATCACTCCTCCACATGTTGAGTGAGGTGAGTTTATTTGAGCAATCAAAAATAAAACAGCTGAAATCCCCCCCCTGCCCCCCCCCCTTTCCTTTTTTTTCACAGAACTAGTGAAACTGTCTGTTTGTGTCTGCTAGAAGAAAAAAAAGAATGCTGTACAGACAGTGGATACAGTGGAACAGGTTTCTCAGGCTGCTCTTATAACCAAAGAACAAGAAAAAGAAAAGGGGGGGGTAAAGAAACTGAGCAAGTGTGGCACACATCCCCCAAGGCTCCATTTCAGGGCCTGCAGACCAGCCTGACTGGGAGTTCACTGTTTCATGCTCCACAGCTACCATGGAAACGCCCTGAATGGGCGTGGGAGCGTGAGTCACATGGTCTCCAAATTGGTAAACAACTCTCATTCATAACCGCAGCATACCCCATAGATAGCATTAAAAAGAAGCACAAACTCCTTTAAATCGGATCATTTCATCCCATCTTCAACTTTGTTTCTATGACCTTCTTCTGAATTTTGCCAGATCCAGCCTTTAGCAGAGTTTTCTCCTTTAATGTGGTGTCTCTGGGTCTTCTGTCAGGCCGCAGAGCTCCACATTTTCATCCCACATTATAACATCAGTATAACACTTACAGTTATGCTGAACTTTACAGAGCAGTACAGCTGTGGAAAATTCCAGAAGGGAGAATGTCACGGGGAAATAGTTTCCTTTACAGTCAGTGATGTATTTTTGTAGCGAGACAATGTAGTCTTTCGATTTAAGACCAACTCTCTTTGGTTGGATCCTCTTACACTGGGCTTTCCTGAAGTGCTCCATGCCCTTATTTAACTCTGGCAGATATATTTAGCCCACAGTGCTGACATAAAATTCTGCCAACTAAACAAATCTAGGAGAGTATGTGATAAGTGATACCTCAATGAGAGGACAAATATTCTCCTCAGTGCTGTAGACTATGGCTTTCTTTGTAGAAAGAAGATTCCAGATTCTATGTTTATCATGTTTTCACATTTAAAGCAATAAATAAAGCAATGCTAAATCAGGAGTTTGTAAAAAAAGAAGATGCAAAACATCAAAGGTGGCAAAACCAGAGGTGTGTGCATGTCTATTGATAGATATGAGGGCCATCTGGTGTCTCAATTGCACTACAAAGTATTCCTTTATCTAAATGTCAGGATGTTTGAATAATGACGAACTAAAACAAACAATTTTATGAAAGCATGGTGGCCTAGCAGACACATTTTGAGAGGTATTGCATCAGAGGGGGGGTCCTCTTTAGCTTCCTTTTGGAATTCTTGGGAAAGTGGTATTGGGCCCCTTCCTCATCAATGGGACCTCTGGTTTGAATCAACATGAAAAGATGTTCCCATGAAATTCTCAGGTGTGTGCTTACTCACTTGCAACCTGCACTAAGACAGTTTTTCATAATTAAGTTTCCTCAGAGGAAAGAAGCAGCAACTATATCAAAGCCAAAGACACAAACAACACGGCTTCTCAGCATAGTTAAGAAAGCTACTCAGATCACGTTTTCCATAGGGGACTTTGAATAGATTCCTCAAAGCAAAGCCGCAGATGGCGGGCAGAAAAAAAAACGCATTCCTGAGTGAGCACACATGTGCAAACCCTCACATGCATACTGGCAAATCTTCTCAGGAGAGAGAAAACATGCCTTCTGACATATGCTCTGTGATGAACCCAGGCTTGGGGTGAGAGTTGCTATAAAAATTGCTATAAAAATATAAAAATATCAGGCATTTAGGAGAGTCTTAAATGCACCCGCCGCCAAAAATACCATTGTCGGCCTCTGCACATGTGCACAAGTAAGTAGTTCACCATCAGTCTTTGAGGAAGGAAATATAAACAATGCAGATTACTTTTAACTCTATTTTCCCAGTTTCCATGTGTTTCATCACTGAAGACGTAAGCCTAATGACTAAGAGCTAAAGATAACTCTTACTCTGCAGCACTCGACAGATCCAGGCACATTCCTTCTTGGCCTGTTCAAATCTTTAAATGCATAGCAAAAAACAGATGTTTGCATACACTGTATATCTTCTCTTCTCACAGTGAGACTCTAAATCAGCCTAAATCTTTTACGTTATAGAAATATTGCCTACAAACAAATAAGAGTTTCATCTTTCTCCTAGTTTGCATCTGCAAAAAGTATTCTAGCTTTTTTTTCCTATAACTTTATCATACTCATGGCTTCCTCCTCTCTGCATGATGGGTAATGAACCAACTTTGGTTAGCATCTTTAAAAGGAATTTGTCTTTTGCTCTCAGGTTAATATCTGGCCTGCACTTTATGTTGAGCCGCAGTGTTCTTTATAAAATACAATTGTGCAATATTAAAGCTGCAAATTTTTTTGCAATGCATTATAGGAGAATTCTAAATTTCATGCATATTTGTAAATTTAAATCCCTTTAATGTGCCACAATGGGGAAATTCACTCTCTGCATTTAACCCATCCCCTTGAGGAGCAGTGGGCTGCCTTTGTGCAGGGGGCAGTGTGGGGTTAAGGGTCTTTGCTCAGGAACCCAGACTGCAGGCTATGGGGATCTAGCGGGTACTTGCAATCTTCTCAGAGCACAACCAAACTGCTCTAACTAGGCCAACACTCCCTAATATTTATCTATCCAAAAATTCATTTGACATTAAATACAGACTTTTACTGCTCTCTTTGCTTACATTGTTTTTTTGGGGGGGTTTTTTGTGCTGAGCTGCTAAAGCTCACAAAAAAAGTCAGGATTTTGTAATTGAAAAAGGGCCAAAAGACTCTGCACTCTATACCACCACCACCACAGTATTCAGCAACAGCACCAAAATTATCTCTATTCCTTTTTCCTGGAGCACCTTATATACCCATTTTGCACTATATCATGTTGACCTCTGTAGGATACCTAACCAAAGTCATATTTTCATAGAATTGTTAGAACAATACTTACTTTAATAAGGATGTTCAATAAACACAAAAGGAAGTATTGCATTTTACATCCATAGGCGTGCCTCCACATGACGTTTTTAAAGATGCCAATAAATCAATGAAATCATTGTTTCCCAAACTACTAAGTATAACAGCTAATTTAGGAGGATGTGGATTTCAAAATGTGAGGAAAGTAAAGAATATAATTTAAATTAGTTTCTCATTATTGTGATTTTTCATCTAAGTAAATACTGGAATTTTATCTTAAATGGAGAAACTTTACATCTGATATAATGACTGTGAAAAAGAAAATATTATATGAATAAAAATAGCTGTTTTCAACTAAATTTATTGATTCAAAAAAATAAGAACCATATATATCTTTGAACGGTAGAGAAAATAAAAAAAAAAACTGCTTACATTATTAATGAGGAAAAGTAAAATAAGAAAAATAAATCCTGACATACCATACATGCTTTTATGTTTGAGGCAAAAAGATCAGTAATCCTCATGTTTAGGGAAATCTACAATTATCAAATCCTTGTTACAGCATGATATCATGGGGCCCAGACGCCTCCTAAAATAAACAGTTTATCACAGAGTTATGAGCTCATCCTTTGTGGCTAAAAAAGAGCTGACTTGTCTTTGCTTTTGTTTTTTGTTTTTAATCTGAAGCAGGCAGAGTTCTCTAAACTTTTCTAAGAAAGCTTTTCCAAGAAAGCGAGACGTTTTTTTCTTCACTCCTGACTGATGTTCGGGCACTGCTCTTTCTTCAGCACAGCACATTTGGTGGGATGTTATGCAAAGGAAATGGAGAGCATATCTGCATGGTGAGTCATGCTGTTTACGGGTAAAAAGCGACGACCAGCGGTAGGGAATCACACCCTCCTGATCTGACGTTTCCTGGAAAATCCCGTTGTTTCACAGGGAGGAAGGAAAAGTACAGAGAACCCTGGATATGGTTGCCTCGATCCGGAACCTTTGTACGGAAAGGGAGGAGGACCCACGAAAAGATATTCTCCCAGACATTAGGATAAAGAGAAATGTTAGGAATGCAAGAGGAAACACGCACTTCTATTCACTTTTATAAACTAAGATTAAACGTCAGTGAGCAACAAGAGAAAAATGATCGTTTTCCAAACATTTTTTTTTATAGTTGAGATCCTATAACAGTATTTGTTTTGTTCAAGCCTAGGCTTGTAAATGGTTTGGATAACTTGTGACTTTTTTCTAAAATAATTTTATAGCTTTAAAAAGCTCCTATCAGCTCCACTGACTGACCAAATAATTCAAGTATGCAATACTTAGAACTGAGCCGAGGCAGTCCCAGGACCTATGGCTGCTGAGGGTCCTGTACAAGCTTTGAGGGATAGAAATTTCAGAGGACAGGATAAAAAAAAAAAAATTAGATGTAAAGATATGATGGGGATTTTTTTATGATTTATAATGTAAGGCTCCCAATGATCCACTAAGTTTGAGATAGCAGGAATTTTATGTTTTTTTTTCTTTCAGGCAAAGTTATGAGCTCCATCCCAATACAAAATCTAATAAGTTAAACAAAAATAAAAAAAGAGAGTTGTGCATTGTTGGTTGTAGATTAGCTGCTTATAACTATTCAACAGAACCCAGTTTACATTTATATATCTAAGCTTATTTGTTGGTGTACATTAAAAAGAGTAACTCCTATTTTTTCTGGAGGAAGAGGGCCCCCAAATTAATCCGCCCGGGATCCTAGACAATCTGGGACCAGCTCTGTTGAAACATTTTAAATAGAAAAACAAGTTTCAGACTACCTAACTTTGAAAATAAAAATGGTTAAATTGTTCAAAATAAGTTATTTAAACATAATTATCAACAAGATAACATTTTCCCAGTAAGAGGAGCAAATCACATCACACTAAAAGTATTCCCTTTGAGTCATTCCATCAGAAACCAAAAATTTCACTTTCACAACCATTGACCACAAACAGTTTTGCAATCAGCCCTGATTTCATGATTCCATCCTTCGCCGGATTCTGGCACAACGGTAAACCCTGAACATAAGCTACATCGGCTGCCTGTTTAGAGGGGATTTCTGCTAGAGTGCTTTGGTGGCACAATGAGTCAGCTGTTGCAAGTCCTCCCTCCAAAACACACATCATCACTTTGGTGACTGAACCACATGTTAGCCTTATGACAGAGGACTATATATGCTACCACCATCCATATATATATATATATATATATATATATATATATATATATATATATATATATATATATATATATATTTTATTACTATTTTTCAAGGCTTCACTTTTAAAAAGATGAAATTGTCCAGGGAGCTCATTCTTTTTGTTTTACACTTGTGTAAACAAAATGACAAATAAAATCTGTCTAAGTCATCCTCTGCCCCCCCTAGCTGAAGGACGCCCACCTGAGACAAAACTGAATCAGATCATCCTTCTGGCTTTAAATCTGTGGCACCTCTCTGTGGAACAAACCACTCAAAGACAAATAAAAAAAAATCTATTTTTTTAATCACTTGACCAAACACCCACGTTATGCAAAAGATAATGTAAAAGCAATGAGTATCATGTGCCATTAGGTCATTACCCTTTAAAGCACATGACATTTCCTGGCCCCAGAAATTAAGATTTATGTTAACCAGAAATGGTACTAAAACAAGTGATAAGATAAAAGCTTTTCTTAGATGATGTATTGTTTCTGGAAATATGTAGGCCCACTCCTCCTCCTATAGACTAGACAGCCCCGGTGGTCTGCAGTGCCCTTTGTCCCACATGTCTACAATGCAGACCACGTGTTGATTTCCATGTCAAAAAAAAAACATAACTGACATTTTACATCATAGGCATCATGGGAGCGCAGAATGTCAGAATTAGGAGGGATGTGAAAATATTTGTGCGTGGAAATAGTTTCAACAGAGAACTTATCCAATTCTAGGATTTTATTTTTCGCTTCCACTTTTCTTAAGAGCTCATGTCACTAAAAAATAATGTAGCAATAAGGATAAGAAAACGACGCAGGGTAAAGTTTTTTTTGCGTTGAATAATGACGTAACTTTACAAGTGTTTTGTAATATTTACGTACGTTTTCCAACTTGACGCAATGCTGTAATAATATATACAACTTTTAGACATGCACAGTTAATTTGTTAAATAATTGGATGATTTAAATTGAAAAATAGTAAATAAGGATAAAAACAAGAGCTTAAAAAGCTTATGATTTTATGGCTGAAATTTAGGAAAGCGATTATAAAGAGGAGAAAAAAAATATGAGAAGTTGTTTAAATTATATTTCTCACTTCGAACTTAAACACCAACACGTGTCCTCTAAAAAAATTAACGCACTAGTGATCCCATAAACGAGTCTGTCTGCGTCTATCCATCAGCGTGAGAAACTTCAGCAGTTTTCTGAGGAATTTCAAAAACATTTTCTAGAAGGAAAAAAAAATAAGTCGTACCTCTGTGAACGTTGCTAAATGTGGACTGGGATGCGTAAAGATGTTGGAGTAGGTTTCCTATCCAAGCGGCGCGGTGGCTTGATCCAAGCGGAGAAACGCGGCAGGCGGGCAGCGCTCAATCCTCGCACTGAATTAACTACAAAACAACAACAATGTACCAACATTCCACGCTCTGCTTCCGCAAGCGCTCACGTCACCGATTCCTCGTGACCGCCCCCTCCATTCATGAAAATAACTTTCTGCTGACGTCAGTCTGGACAGAAGCGGGGGGGATTTGGGGGGGGGTTAAGGCCAGAAATAGAAAACAGATATCGCTGGCAACCGCTTTTGCTTACTTTACAAAACAAACCTGTCAGTAAGCGAAGAAAAACTCAAAGTTATGCAATAAGTTTATTCAGTAAACCTGTTGCTTTTTGCGCTGAGTGAGCCTTTCACGTGCGCGGACGCTCTCATGCCCAGCGTTGAACTACAAGGTTTTCAAAAATGTGTTTTAACGGAGGGAAAACACCCCCTCCCACCCACACAGTCTGCCTTTTGGGAGCAACAGCATTCCTTTCTAGAGGAAAGTATGCAGAGTAGTAGCCCAGAAGTCACAGGATTTCTCTTATTTTAACTGCAGACTGTAACGTCACTGCTATTCTTGGTAATTAAATACTGAACCTAAATATGTTAAACCTTATAAGGACAAAAGCCTCATTGATTTGCCTTTTCCATTTAGTTTAAAACAATCGGATTTTATTTAGACTGTTTTATTAAAAGAACAAAAGACATCTTGTTTACATTTTGCTTAGCTGGCTCAAACAAAAAGAAATCTGTCGTTACTTAGGGGCCCTTCTGACCTGCAGAATCTAAATTACTTATATATATGTAGGCTGATATGTAGCTTTGCTCTTTCATACTTTTTTTTAAGCAAAATAAATGCTTATGGTACAAAATGAGGTATTTATCCAAAGGACATTTCTGACCTCATACTCGACAGGTGACTCTTTTGAACCAGCTTTAACAGTTGGTGATTTGTACTCTTTATTTGCTTATGGCCTGCTGTAATAAAACCTATACATACATATCTACCAGCACAATTTGATCAATCAAATAACAAGCAATAGAACAAAGAATGTTAAAATCTCCAGAACAGGAAACATTATAGGAAATATATACTGTCATTCTTATGTGTTATTAAAACTGTTTACATTTGTAATTTATGTTTCTGATTACTTATTAACTCCGCCTAGTCTGTAATGGGAATAACTAGAAGGAAACCCCAAAGTAAGCTTGATTTTGTACCTCTTTTTTTTTTTTTTTTTTTATCTTCTTGCTGTAAACACCAGAATTTCTCCATTGTGGGTCAATAAAGGGATTTTTTATTCTATTCTATTCTATTCTATTCTATTCTATTCTATTCTATTCTATTCTATTCTATTCTATTCTATTCTATTCTATCCTTACAGTCTTCCACCAGTCCCATATCTGGTGCAAGACCCAACCAGATACGAATTATGGTGAATAAAAACTTATTTTGTTATTTTGTAAATAAACAATCCAAAATGTATCTTTTTAAATATTGCAAAACTATCCTTCAGTTTAGTTAGACAGCATCTCAAATACAAAAGAATGCACAAGGCACTGTGTGTATGGAGAGGGGTGGGGGTGTGGGGTGGGTGGAATATGTGTGTATGTGTGCTGACTTGCTTTTGCCTGTTCTTTAGTCACTGACCATTTTTAGGTTAAATATCATTTCTTTATGAAACTGTTTTGCTCCATGATGCTTTACTTTCGAAGATCCATGTTTAGCTACGAAAGACAGAAATGGAGATAAGAGAGGAAACCCACTGAAATAAAAGAGCTGTCACACTCTCAGAAAGTCACATGCACAGTGTTATCCTAACCTCTAGAGGCTCCTTTACTTTTGCTTGTTTGGTGAGTTGGATTCAGTGACTGCATTTAATCAGACAATTCAAAGCAAAAACATTTTTTCTTTTGCTTGTGATCAAGGTCAGTTCTCAGAGAAAAATCAATTGGACTTTTGGATTCACAAAGGAATGTTTGTCCAGCTTAAAAGTTGTCTTCCAGTGAAACTAAGACCAGAGTAACTGAACCAGGCGTTGCATCATATTTGTAGACCGTTATTAATGGTTATGTTTGTGTATTTATGCTTCTGGCTTATGACTAACAAAGTACAACTTCTTCCTCTAAATCACTTATTTGATTAATTGTTAACCAAAGATGGTCTGGTTCTCTTTTTTCATGCATATTGCAAAACATTTCAAAGCCAAAAGGCATTTGAAACCGATGACTAACTGTCATTGTTTTCTCAGTTCGTATCACCACCTCAATAACCACAAGCAGCACCACAGCAATTCCTGTATGTAACAGTCAGGCAGATGCATGCATGGGTTGATGAGCCAGTCTGCACCTGCTTCTTTTTTCTTCTTTTTTTTTTACTTAATATGAATTTCAACTCAATGGCAATAACTCAGAACATTTACATTAAAAATAAACTTTATATAGGAAGTAGACAAACTGTGATTAAATAAAATCAAAGAGATGAAACTTAGGTCTATTTTGTTAGCGGAGCATATTAAAAATGTTGCAACTATAGTTTAAATAGAATTTCAGTGATTAAATAATTATCTTAATTTGATATATCTGAAATCCATTATAGAATAATAGAAAGAGCACTTCGCAAAGTCTTAATAATGGGAAAGGGAAGTTAGAAAGAAAGGAAGGAATGAAGGAAAAATCTATAAGCATATTAAAAGAGACAACAGTGAATTTCCAGCATCACATAAAAGGAAACACTAATAGAGCAAAAACAAAAACATGAAACCATGAGAAAATGAAAAGTAGAAGTAATGAAAAGAAGCCGGCCAACTCGGTGCATCTCAGGTTTAGAGGGAATTTTCTACAGACCTGTTTAGTTCTAGTCCTAAAACATGTTTCTAATAACAAAGTGTATTTATCCTCAAGACCATAAACCCCTTATAGACCATTCTTAATACATTTTAAAATATATTATTTTACAAAAAGGAGGTAAGTGGAGGAATCATGTGATATTAACCACTTTCTGGGAGATAGGCAAAGACTCCATTGCAATAATAGTGAAAACATAAATGTGAACTAAATTAGCAACTTAAGGGGATTCTGATGACATGATGTGACACCATAATCAATGATAGGTTACTGAGACTGACTTTTATTATAAATCATGCTGAAATGATAAAGATTTAACTGGAACATGCAAGATTTGACTGTATATATATATATATATATATATATATATATATATATATATATATA